GCCGGGATACCGATGGGCAAGTAGGCACTGCCTTTCGGTCTTTTCCAGATGTGGTCGCAGCCTAGTGGGACACCAGTTGTTGAGTCCTGCAAGTCAACTTAGCCTGGCCCAGGCTTTTCCATAACTGGCCGGGGCTGTGTCCTCTTGGGCCTTCACTTAGGGCTAGCCGGGACCGGGAGCCCCTTGCGCCCTCACATGGTCCATCTGAACATAGTAAATTACAAACAGATATCCACCGAGGATTTTGGATCCAGTCTCTGCTCTCGAGCAACGAAAACTTTGAAAGTAGTAAATTACTGTATTTCCTCTGCAAGACTCTACACATACCCGTCTGCTGTAGCCAATCTGCGGAGGCACCCCTGCAAATTCACCAGTTCACAGCATAAGTCCCTTTTTGAGGCCCAAATGAAACCACAATCGGACAGGTGAGGGGGGAAGAACCTGCGCAGTAAAATTCATGGGAATGGACGTAGAAATCTAAGAAATCTATTTGGAAAAAAAAAACAAAAAAAAACTCGGAAATCTCGGGTCAAACACAGGCAGAGCAAAGAATCTCACCAAACATGAAAACCTGCACAGCAACTCAGAATCACACCAAACATACAAATCTGCTCAGCAAAACTCCGATTTTGCTGCAGCGTGATGGGGTGGGTGATTGGTGCATGGTGGGGTTCTTGGCATGATGGCAGCAAGCTGGTGAGAGGGGAAAGGAAGAACGAAGAAGAAGAAAGGAGAAGAAGAAAGGAGAAGAAGAATGAAGAAGATGGGGGTTGGGAGATAGTAGTTGTCATGTGGGACGCCAGGAAAGGAGCCACGTGGCGCCGCATCTTGATGCACGTGTGCCGGATATTCGTTTGGAGCTGACAATTTTGCACTGGTGCTGGGGGTGGGGGAGGGATTTCCTCGCTGAGTGACGGGGCAAATTTCATTGGATGGCTGGGTGGATTTACATTCCGTCCAGTTCAAGACTAAGAAAGCAGGTGGCCCACACAAGCTCAGCTTCACTGTGGGGAAAACCTGGCATGACGTTGGGTAGGCCCAGTGGTCCTGTGCAGGTCGCCGGTGTGGAGCACAACTATGGCGCCCAGGTAAGTACGGCCGACGCAGGTATGGCCTCCGCCCCTCTGCCTGCCTACACCTCTACCTCTACCCCAGCATAGCGCGGTAGCGCTGTAGCGCTGGTTCAGCAGCGTGTCACCCAAAGAAGTGGGCTACTCCAACCGTCCGTCTGTCCTGGCCTGGCCCACCTATAAGTAGTGCTGGGCCTCGTCGGTCTGCTTCCGTGTGCCTCTGGTCCTAGGCCAAAAACGTGGCCTACTGGTTCTTGGTCTCCACCGGACATCCAGACCCTGCCTGCTGATGCAGCAGGGACGCCCGTAACTGGACGAGCACGGACCTGGCCTAAGGGCCCTGCCTCCTGGTGTACCCAGCCCAAGGCGCAGCCTTGGGGACTGCAAGTCCGAAACGATGCCTGAACAGACAAAAATAAGACAGCAAACAAACAAATAAATGAATGAATGCTGTTGTAAATCAAATCCTGCCCCTAGGGGCCGCCGTGGGCCTCCAGGGTGCGCGTCAAAAGGGTGCGCGGCCTGGGGGCCCCTCAGCAACCGTCGGGCCCCTGAAATGGGGCCCGTGTGCAGGCGCAGCATGTAACATTCTGCCTGGGGGTACCCGGGCGGTGGCCCCGGGGCAACCAGGCCGCCAAGTTCACAGCCTAGAGAAGATGTATGTGATAAAAAACCCGGGATTGCATTTCTATTTATTTATTTTTAATTAGTTCTATCCTATTTCAAGCAACATCCAGCCGGATTTTGTGGGTGGTGGGTCCTGGACCCCGGCAACCAGGTTCACGGCCTAGAGAAAATTGGCTGTGGTAAAAAAATAGCAACTTCTGACTGGGCCAACCTGGGTCTCCCTGGGGGTACCCAGGTTCACAGTCTACAGAGCATGTGGTAAAAAAACTATTTCAAGCAGCATCCAGCCAGATGTCGTGTGTTGTTTATGGAACTGAAATTGACGGAAAAGTTCGGAAAAACATTTTTTCATGATTACAATCGGTATGCTGATCCAGCCCAGCCGGGTCTGCCTGTCTGGTTTGGTATTGTCCGGATCGGGCCCTAGAACCAAAAAAACCAGGAAGATTTTCATGACCGGCTGGTCACCCAGGCATGATGTCCGGGGGGGTCTGACACCCGGGATACCCGGGCATGGGTAAAACAAAAAAGAACAAAAGAATTGGCGGTGGGGGTTTTCTGCGCTCTCGGAGAGGAGCCTGAATCCGGGCTCTTTTCTTTTTTTGAGTGTTGGCTTTAAAGGGGGGGCAATATAAATTATTTTTAAAGGGGCTAAAGGGGTTTAAAGGGGGGTGCCTTGATGTGATTCGGTTATTTTCTTTTTTATCTTCAGTTCCGTGAGGAATTCTGATGTGACCCTCAGCCAAAAGTTGTTTGTATTGCAATTCAACATTTTTTTTTTTCCAAATTTGTTTGGATTTTTTTTTTCTTTTTTTCTTTTTTTTTGGCGCTGGGGCAGCCCGGGACCCTGCCCAGGGTCATGCCCGGCCGGTCACCCGGGTGTGTTTCCGGGCATAACTTGGGCGCCCGGGCGCCCGGGGAAACGGCCTAGCAAAAAAAGAATCAAAGAAGGGGTGGCCACAACCATCGTCTGGGTCCTGCCGACCCCCCACAAAATGCCTCAGCCAATGTTCTGGTCCGGTAGAGTCTTCAAGACTGGGCCGTACTCTCTGGATAGGGCTTAGTGAGCACCCTCAGGTGGAGGAGGAAGACCACTTGCAGAGATCGACTTTAATTTTCAAAACCGTGTAGTATCGTGTACATCCTTGGTTGAAAACTAATCATTAAGGGTACTACCGTTCAAATCCTGATTCTACCGTTCAAATCCTGATTCTCTGAAGGTTCTCCGTTGTGGCTAGACCCCTCACACGCACAGCAAATCTCTCTCTCTCTCTCTCTCTCTCTCTCTCTCTCTCT